AAAGTAGGGGGGTCGCCTTTAGACCAGCTGAAAGCTCCGTCCACAATCCTAATGCAGTCAGGAGCTGAATGAGCAGGAAACAACAATGAAGTCTCTTAAGTGAACATCAAAACACATGAGATGACTTTAAACCCACAGATTCATCGAACAGCTGCGCTACTCTCTCATACAATCCTTTTTCCCCCCTGTCGGTCGAAACTGTTTGGGGACTGCAGAGCTTTGAGAGTCAAACATGCACAGCGTCCTAAAAAAAAGCACAACACAGGACACAGCACATTGGGTCTTTTGTAAATTTGAACTGCTTGTGAATCACTGAACTTACATCCAGTGATGGCTGGCCGGTCCACACTGTCTTCATCCAACTCTTCATGGGACAGAAATACACGCAGACGTTTCAAAGACACACTGGCCTAAAGAAGCAATAGATTTTGTGGTCATAATTCAAAATTAGGCAGACAACGATTTCCTGGGTCTTGCTTGAGAAGATCCCAAGTGCTCTGTGTTCGGTGTCCAAAACCTTTTAAGCTCTCATAACATAAACCACATTCATTATAATAATTACATGCAGCTTTTTTTTTTTTTTAAAAGAGAGAAACAGAGAGGGAAAGAAGGAGAAAGACAGGAATACCTGCACCATGCTGCTGATGACCATGGGCAACATATTAAGAGGGAAGCGCAGGATGTTGAACAGAGCCAGAGAAACAAACGCCTTCTGCGCATCCAGAATATTATGTTCATCCACTAACACGTATACTGCGAATGTGGAGAGGGCAACCTTTGTGAAAGAAACAAGATCACATGAGTGAATGTCTTACAACCATAAGGTAGCATCAAAAACAATGGGCATAATGAAAGAGCCCATGTAATATTGTAATTCTGGTCAAATCATTCACTCAAAGGCACCACCTACCAAAAATGGTGCGCAGACCCAAGTAAAGGTGGACACGGCACCAAGGTAAGCGGTCTTCTTCAGCACCAGCAATTCACTCTCCCGGATGGCAGACACTTTGTCTTTGAACGCCAGTTCCCATGCGTAGAGTTTAAGCACTTTAATGCCATTTAGCACCTCGTTCATAAGCTTGATCCTATTGTCTTTGCTTTTCATTTGGGCAACCTGTGGGTGAGTGTATCAGATTAAACAATGATGATCTGATTAATGAAATGGAAGCAAATAAACCTGCTGATCAGGAAAAGAGGTTAAAAACCTGGTAGGTTTTAGTTTTCATGGCAATGACTGCATTTATGGGAACCATCAGCACCATCACAGCAACTCCAGCAAGCACAGAAGGACCCAGATTCTAATAATAATAAAAAGAGAGCAAAAACGGTATTACTAATGTATAATGAAATGAGCACAAATTAAACATGCCAATACCCCTTTGTTTGGGCACATACCTGCCACAAGAAGTACAGGGCCAGGATAACCTGCAACGGTGCCGACCAAATCATGTTGATATAGGTGATGAGGTCCATAAACCGCTGTGCATCTACAGACATCAGATTCACAATCTCTCCGACCGTGGATGTTCGACGGGCAGCATTGGTAATAACCAAGGCCTAGACAAATTAAGGAAAACATTATAAATCTACACTACCATTAAAAAGTTTTTGTTTTGTTTTTTCAGCAAGGATGCATTCAATTGCTCAAAAGTAGCATTAAAGACATTTATGGTGTTATAAATAATTTCTAACTAGTTAGAACTCTAGTTTTTTTTAATGTCCTTTATACTGTGATTTAAGGAACTCTCTTTTTGAATTAATCCAGTTAAAAAATCCTGATATATTATGGAACTATGAAGGGGAGATTTTGTGCTGGTTGTTTGAAAATCATGTTTTTGCTTTGGCAAAATTTATAGAAAAAGCCTGGTATTTACGGCAAAGTATTTTGTATCCCGTATGAAAAGCCATCTCTATTTGTATGTGTGCTTATTTTTTATTTTTAAATGGTTTAGTTATGCTATGTCTTATGTCACGTGGCTATTTGGTGATATTTGTGAAGTTGTAGTGTCTAATAAGCCCATGAGGGCTGGGCACCATAAAAGGTGTTTGACACTAAAACAAATCAATCTAACTCAAATAAACGCTGTTTAGAATTTTCTATTTACCAAAGAATCCTGAAAAAAAATTACCCACAAAAATATTAAGCAGCACTAATGTTTTTAACATTTAATAATAAAAAAAAATTCTTGTCTTGAGCAGCAAATCATCATATTAGAATGATTTCTAAAGGATCATGTGACACTGAAAACTGAAGTAATGATGCTGAAAATTCAGCTTTGCATCATTCAGGCATAAATTGTTTAATGTATTTTTGTTCAAATAAATGCAGCCTTGGTGAGCTAAGAGACTTATTTCAAAAACATTTAAAAAAAATCTTGCCAATCACAAACTTCTGAACTGCAGTGTATATGCAATTTAAAAGTCAGATTTTGTATTGCATCTCTTTTTTTTTTTTTAATGATTTCAATTCATAAAATGTTTTGTGTTCTGAGAGTTAAAGTATGACACATTCACATTGGACAATGCATTATTTGAAGTCTTGTGATGTAACAAATACACACCAAATGTGCATAAACACCTACACCATGTTATGCACATTTTATCAAACAAAAGTCCACTTACTTTCCTATATACGGCACCAACGATGGCCGTACGTAACCTCATGCCAGTCACAAAGCAAACGTGAAAATATTTTTGCAGAATGAGGGTTTGAAAACAGGTACAAACGAACAGCAGAGTGGTGTAGAAGTAGCCAAGCCAAGTAGGGGCACTTGAATCGTTCACAAACTGGATAAGCAGCCTAAGATACAAAACACAGAACTCACGTGAGCAAAAATTGATACGTCAATCATGTTTCATGCAGCAGAATACAGTTCTTCTGGATTCACGCGAAAGGAAAGTGGGCAAACTGGTTAAAGGCTTACTGCCGAGAGTTCAGGTGATATATTCAGAAGATTAGAGAGGATTTGAACATGGTCCAGTGCACAATCTGATGGCACGACTTCCAGCATGCCAAAACTAACTCTTCACTGGAGCTCTTTTTAAGAGCCACAGCTGTTGTTTTGACTGTGTCGTTCCCACAGAGTTAAAGTAATTTCTAACCACATGACAGTGAAAACACAGGGGGAAGGTTTGCACTTTCCCCTGCAGAGTACTATTGTTCCTGAACACAGCACAGATGGGACTAATTACATCTCTGGAAAACATAAATAGCTCATTTTGATGCTGTAGACTCATACCTGAGAATCTCTGGTCCAACAAACATCAGGATGTCATGAATAATCTTATAAAGAGAGCTGACAAGAAAGTAGGGTCCAAAGGTTCGGCAGAGAGCACAGAAGAGAGACGGATCGCCAGTTTTCTGAAGGGTTTTCGCAAGCAAAATCTCGGACTCTTCTATTGGTTGTCCATCCTTCTTTTCTCCCCTTGCTGCTCGTTTTGGGGAGTAGAGTGTCTTATCTACTGGCCTAGCACAAAAACCATAAACAAACCAGAGGATTAGTAATTTGAGTAGCAAAACCAGAGACTTCATTTAAAAAATACTTATGTACCTCCTTGAGGAGGTAATACAAAAAAGTTAACTCCTTGAGTCTAACCTTTTGACCTTGTTGCATTCTTGGTCCCAGCGCCGCACTAGCTGTGGCACAACTCTCTGAGATTTATCCTCCACGTTGAGCGACCACAGATCCTTCTCCTCCAGAGGCCTTTTATAACCTTTCACCATCAATCTGTGAGGAAAAGTATGGGATATGAATTAACTATCAAGAACAACATCCAGCTTGAATACAAGCTTAAAGGGTGGTTCACCAAAAATGTGATTTCTGTCATTAATTACTCACCCTCATTTCGTTCCAAAACCGTGAGACCTTCGTTCATCTTCGGAACATATTAAGATATTTTTAATGAAATCCCCCTCTCTAGTCCATGTGGCTACAGTGGTTCAAACTTAATGTTATGAAGCGACGAGAATACTTTGTGCGCAACCCCCCCCAAAAATAACTACTTTAGTTATAAAAATAACTACTCTTATTATAGATTATCTTTTCTTCTGTGTCAGTGTCTGACGCTGTTCACGTGAGCACCATGACATGTGTGTGATGCTGACGAGGGAGCCAGCTAATACTGAGCGCCAGCGTTCTGACGTAGAACCCAGAAGAGCTACACTGTGTTTACAACGTGAACAGCGTCAGAGAGTGACACGGAAGAAATTGTTGAATAAAGTCGTTATTTTTGTTTGTTTTTTGTGCACAAAAAGTATTCTCGTCACTTCATAACATTAAGGTTGAACCACTGTAGTCAAATGGACAATTTTAACTGTCTTTACTACCTTTCTGAGCCTTGAAAGTGGTAATAACATTGCAGTCTATGGGGGGTCAGAAACCTCTTGGATTTCATCAAAAATATCTTCATTAGTTGTGTTCCGAAGGTGAACGAAGGTCTTACGGGTTTGGAACGACATGAGGGTGAGTAATTAATGAATTGTTTCATTTTTGGGTGAACTAACCCTTTAAAACATCAGCAAAAAAGGATCCTTCAAAAAGGTTGCTACTGCTACTTTTTCTGATATAGATAATACTAAGAATAATAATACAGAAAATGATGGGACAAATGGGATCAAGTAATTAATTACATGAGTCAGACTACAACTTCTAGACACCTCCATGCGTCGGAGGCAATGCACTAACCACTAGGCAATTCAAGTGCAGTAATTATTATTTTTTCTTTACCCTGTGATCCACCAGAAAGTGATTTTGGACAGGAACGAAGCTCCCAACTCTGGACATGGATTCTGTACACAAACATTCACAGTATTGGCCATCTTTTCAACATTCATATAATGAAGCATTCCTTCATTAAGTAAAGTTCACAAACCAAATCTTTGACAGCCTGTGAAAAGAGCGGAGGCTGGTCGGAGAAGCAGGCCAGGATCAGAGAGATGAGCAGCATGGTGTAATATATGTAGAATGTGGTATATTTGAACACATCCACACTGGCAGGCTGAAAAGAAAGACTGTTGGATCAAACAACACTTTAAGGCTTTGCTCACATTACAGACAAATCTGATTTGGTTTTTAAATCGGTACATTAGGACTGACAATCAGTTTGCAATTGGTGAACTATGATCCATTTGTCCAGTTTATTCAACATCCTGTATATCATTAATTATGTGTTGGTTGCTATAGTAATGATGTAACAGTCAATGTAATACTGAGAGACTTTCTTCTACAGAAAATGATGAGTAGTTGTCAGTGTAGGACGAAACAGGAAATTTGGCCTCTGCTGCGGTGCAGAACCCACATGATACATGAGAGATCATAAGCGGCATATTTACACATTTGTGAATATACTGGACCCAAAACTGCTGATTCATTCACTCGTGCACAATTCTTGACATAGTGAACATCACATGAGGAAATTTATGAGGATAGAATTAACCAAAATGAGTGTATTCAGACGCTACACAATTTGTGTGATATTACATATGTGACACATACTGTATTTCTAATGACAAAAACTACTTAAAATCTTATCTGACTGTCTAGACAGGGCTGAATCCCCCCCCCCCCCAAAAAAAAATCGGACTTCAAATCACATATGAATGTGGACTGACTGCAGAAACTGTCAGTTTTAACGGAAAAGTCATATTTACTTCATTCAACGCAAGCAGGATCTTGGAGCGAAAGGTGACTGTAGCGCACACTAAGGCGATCAGCCAAAAATTGAGCATCACCCCTGAGGACTGGACTCCCTTCATCCGCTCATACTGGATCAAGAACGTAGCCAGCAACTAAAACATATATAACAACACATTCAATTACACGACACTTCAACTTTGTAAACCTCAGGCAAATAAAAGTCACTGAGGCAAGGAAAGAGGAACACATTCATGTCATTTGAATATGAAATAAATGCAAAGCAAAGAGTAAATTACAAGCAAAGTAGTATAATTCAATATATACAGGTCCACCTCAAAAAATTAGAATATTGTGATAAAGTTCATTATTTTCCATAATGTAATGATAAAAATTAAACTTTCATATATTTTAGATTCATTGCACACCAACTGAAATATTTCAGGTCTTTTATTGTTTTAATACTGATGATTTTGGCATACAGCTCATGAAAACCCAAAATTCCTGTCTCAAAAAATTAGCATATCATGAAAAGGGTCTCTAAACGAGCTATTAACCTAATCATCTGAATCAACTAATTAACTCTAAACAACTGCAAAAGATTCCTGAGGCTTTTAAAAACTCCCAGCCTGTTTCATTACTCAAAACCGCAATCATGGGTAAGACTGCCGACCTGACTGCTGTCCAAAAGGTCATCATTGACACCCTCAAGCAAGAGGGTAAGACAAAGAAATTTCTGAACAAATAGGCTGTTCCCAGAGTGCTGTATCAAGGCACCTCAGTGGGAAGTCTGTGGGAAGTAAAAAAGTGTGGCAAAAAACGCTGCACAACGAGAAGAGGTGACCGGACCCTGAGGAAGATTGCGGAGAAGGACCGATTCCAGACCTTGGGGGACCTGCGGAAGCAGTGGACTGAGTCTGGAGTAGAAACATCCAGAGCCACCGTGCACAGGCGTGTGCAGGAAATGGGCTACAGGTGCCGCATTCCCCCGGTCAAGCCACTTTTGAACCAGAAACAGCGGCAGAAGCGCCTGACCTGGGCTACAGAGAAGCAGCACTGGACTGTTGCTCAGTTTTGCATGTCATTCGGAAATCAAGGTGCCAGAGTCTGGAGGAAGACTGGGGAGAAGGAAATGCCAAAATGCCTGAAGTCCAGTGTCAAGTACCCACAGTCAGTGATGGTCTGGGTGCCATGTCAGCTGCTGGTGTTGGTGCACTGTGTTTTATCAAGGGCAGGGTCAATGCAGCTAGCTATCAGGAGATTTTGGAGCACTTCATGCTTCCATCTGCTGAAAAGCTTTATGGAGATGAAGATTTCATTTTTCAGCACGACCTGGCACCTGCTCACAGTGCCAAAACCACTGGTAAATGGTTTACTGACCATGGTATTACTGTGCTCAATTGGCCTGCCAGCTCTCCTGACCTGAACCCCATAGAGAATCTGTGGGATATTGTGAAGAGAAAGTTGAGAGACGCAAGACCCAACACTCTGGATGAGCTTAAAGGAGAACTCCGGCGCAAAATGAACCTTTGGTCTAATTACACATTGTTACCTAGTCAACCGTTATCTGAGATTTGTTTTCATGATTATCGAATGTAAATAGTTTTATCTCTAAAAACAGTTTAGCCTATAAAGCTAGTATAACGCTAGTATATTGGGCATAGATCAATGACAAATAAAAATCGCTTGTTAATACCACTAACAAGGCTCAAAATAGCCCCACACTAACACGGTAGCATAATGAGGGTCCCTACCTTCAAACCGAAGCATTGAGAACTTTGTCAGTGTCCAGACAGTTTAATAAGAAGATATTTTAAACATACAGTCAACTTCGCGTATACAGGCAGGAGCCATCTTTGAAATACAGCCTTTACCAGTCGATCTACGAACGCCGATCCAAGTGCGCTGGTGAGATGTGAACGAGCTATAAGTTGTGATAAGGTGAGCGCGAACAGCAGGCTTGGATCGGCGTTCGTAGATTGACTGGTAGAGACTGTATTTCAAAGATGGCTCCTGCCTGTATACGCGAAGTTGACTGTATGTATTAAATATCTTCTTATTAAACTGTCTGGACACTGACAAAGTTCTCAATGCTTCGGTTTGAAGGTAGGGACCCTCATTATGCTACCGTGCTAGTGTGGGGCTATTTTGAGCCTTGTTAGTGGTATTAACAAGCGATTTTTATTTGTCATTGATCTATGCCCAATATACTAGCGTTATACTAGCTTTATAGGCTAAACTGTTTTTAGAGATAAAACTATTTACATTCGATAATCATGAAAACAAATCTCAGATAACGGTTGACTAGGTAACAATGTGTAATTAGACCAAAGGTTCATTTTGCGCCGGAGTTGTCCTTTAAGGCCGCTATCGAAGCATCCTGGGCCTCAATAACACCTCAGCAGTGCCACAGGCTGATTGCCTCCATGCAACGCCGCATTGAAGCAGTCATTTCTGCAAAAGGATTCCTGACCAAGTATTGACTATTGAGTGCATAACGGAACATAATTATTTGAAGGTTGACTTTTTTTTTTTTGTATTAAAAACACTTCTTTTATTGGTCGGATGAAATATGCTAATTTTTTGAGACAGGAATTTTGGGTTTTCATGAGCTGTATGCCAAAATCATCAGTATTAAAACAATAAAAGACCTGCAATATTTCAGTTGGTGTGCAATGAATCTAAAATATATGAAAGTTTAATTTTTATCATTACATTATGGAAAATAATTAACTTTATCACAATATGCTAATTTTTTTAGAAGGACCTGTATATGAAAAAGAAAAGGATATGGATCTCACCATTGTAATGCCAAGCATTGTGGGGCTGACTAGGTAGACTGGGGCTATTGTAGCCCCACGGCTTCTTTCCCAGAAAGAGTAGAAAACATCTGCCCAGCAGATAAGCCATAGGGTGAACCCAATAATCTGTTGGAGGAGAGTCACATGACCTTTAAACAGCTCAGTCATAAAGCACGCTGCTAGATAAAAGCAAGTTGTTTACTGTTGTACCGGAATCCTGTTTGTTAAAACTCACTGTTTTGGCTCTGTTGAGGTGGGTCATGCATATGTATCCACGGTCATGGCTTTTGATGTATAGGATGTAGAACGGTGCAAACAGCCAGAGGTAGAGGGAGGGTATCCAAACCAGCAGTGTGTTCTGGAAACATGGTGTCAGGTCTGGATTGTGTGTTTGCCATGTCCGGTTCCAATCCTGAAAACATAAGAGGATAAAAGGGGGTTTCATTCTATTTAACATCTTTGGAGATTCTTTGGACGAAACTTAGAAACAAAGTAACAACTGGAGTAGGCAAAGAGCTCTTGGCCGAATGGTAAAGCACACAAAGACCCAATGATGTGTGGAAGGAACAAACACTCCAGAACTCTTGAGCAGATCTTTCAGAGAACCAAAGTCAAGGATCTTTTCTGCACAATAGAGCAGGGAGGAAAGTCTTCAGCTTCTTGATAACAAAAGTCTTCTTTAAGAAGTGACATCCAAAACATGCCTAAAAAATGTACTGAACCTTTTCTTACAAAGAAAATCTAATCTTGTTCTCTGTAGGGAGCATCTCTTCCCATAATCCTGTCTCTGAGGAGGAAAAATAGATAAATATGTGCAAGAGAATAATAGATCAATAAATAAAAGGCTACTCTGCTATATTCTCAAACACAGGACACGAAATGTGATTTTCTTGACATTTGAGCTATTGAACTAAATGCATTTGAACAGCATTGCCATCATCATCTGTAATGACAACAATCATGTGAATCTTTCAAAAGCTGACAAGAAAATATTTCACCCCCAAATTCACATTACTGTAACAAGGAAAAAACATATGTTTGATTAAAGCAAATGACAATATATTTGAATTTACTGAATTATAGCAAAGTTATTCCGAAAAGTATCACACAAATAAACCTACATATATATATACTTTAATAACTAAACACAGCACTTTAAAAAGAAAAAACATGAAGAATTAGGCTAAAATATAATAAAAAAATTGATAATTTTGTTATTGTATATTGTGTTTGTCATGGCAGCATTTGTTGCACTTAAATTACAGAAATAAAAAAAGATGGTTAAATTTACTGAAAAAATAATATGGAAAAAACAATAAGCAAAACAAAAAAGCTACACTTGAACACATTTCCCCCTCAATTTCCTAGTACTATGACAAGGAAAAACGTGAAAAAATTATAATTAAATAAAAATTATAATATGTTATTTATTATGGTATAAAATAAAAAAATAAAAAAATTAACTTACGAAATGCAAAAATTTACGTAAAACTAAACAAGTCAAACTTTTTAAGAGTAAAGAGTTCAAATGTGCTGCCTTGCCATTAAAATAATGTCATAATATGGTTGTGATCATTTGTTTTTAAAATTCTTTAATTTGTTTATGTAAAATATGTAATTATATTTCCTCCATTATTACTATTTTGCCCTATGACTTAAAACAGTTTTAATACATTTACAAACTTGGAAATCCTTCAGTGCATTAAATCCGCATTAAATCCTTGGGCAAACAACGAACTTTGTAAACATAACAGCTGAGAGCATTTCAAAAGAAGCAACACACTTCCTTGGCATGCATGTTATCTGTCAGAGTGATTTATAATTCAATGTTTTGGCCCACTGAACCCGAAGGACAAATTGACTGTCTAAACCTGTCAGACTACAATTAATACTGTTAATCCACTGACCAGTCAGACCTTCCACAAACACAAACAAACAAAGCTTAATTCTTTCTAAATATGACAAATAATGACACAAGTTCTCTAGTTAAAAGGATACTGTCTGGTATGAGAGGATTAAGCTAAACAAAAACAAGTCAAAGAAGTGTCAAGTTAACTCTTAAGCTTCACATGGCGATAAAGACACACATTGAGCAGGTGTTAGTGTTATAAATCTTATATGCGACGGTTAGATTGTCATAGAGGAATGTCAACACTACATAATTAAAGTCTCCGGAGAGTTATACGTATGGTAGTTTGCTGTGTGGCTAACCGGTTAGCTTAGCAACGGTGGCTCCGTCTCAAAACCTTGTGAGCTGCCTAGTGCCTACCTTGACAGCATTTTTCGGCGTTATGGGCGCATTCAATCCGAAGTGAACTCTTCACGAGCGCATTTGATGCCCGGAAATTATCTGGCCCTCGAAACGGTCGTTCAAAAGCGCCTAAGACGCAACAAAAAAATGCTGTAGACCTATGTAGAAAGTTCACTATGTTTTAAAACACAGCCAGGGTCTCATGCTGTGCAACCCAAACCACGGCAATCTGTTGAAAACAATATCGTCGGTAAAACAGCTAATGACGGTAGAACTGTTTATTTACTTACCCAAAACGGATCAGAACCGTCCAAACTGCAGAAACTGTCAATACCCATTCGCCGCAGGAAGGATCTGTTATAGCGTGCTGGGTTTAAACTGCCTCCGTTTCATAACCACTGCTGTGTGTTATGGTGATGATAGGGACCTGTATGGAAGTGTGATATGTGAGATGAACAATGGGGGGCGCTGTTACCTCATCAATTTAATAACTGACGTAACAGGAGTCACACACAACAATATGGCAAGCCGGGTAATGAGGTTTTAACCCTCTGGTTATCTTTGGGGTCTTTTTAACCCGCAAATGACTTTTGGTCAAATTAAAAAAAATGTTCTCTTTGTCCAAATGGTATGAAACTTTCTACAGCTCTTAACACTTCATAGATCTACAAAAGAAAAAAAAAATTGGAATGATATCTGTTATTATGTTGCCGTGAAAAAAATAGTCACACTTGTTGTCTTCGGGGTCCCTGGAGACCCCGCATAGTAAATATATAATATTCATCATCAAAATCAGAAACAACGCAGATCACATGGACAGAAATGAAATGGCACACTTCCAACAATGTAAAAAACATCCACAATGCAAAATTATCATGCTCGCCACACACACACACACACACACACACACACACACACACAACCACACATACACATACACACAGAAATACATTTGTAAGGCTATAAAAAAAGTCTTATAATTTGTCAAATAAAATGCAGAACCACCACAAATATAAATTGGTGACACTGACACAACGAAAATACACACACACACACACACACAGAATGTGTGTCTGCAGAAGTCATGCAACGTACTACGCATACTGCCTGCAGTGCACTGACTCGTGAACACCTCCAGTGCACCACCAATTGTTGTTCTTATTTGTTCAAAAAACAAAAATTTCCCAATCAGTTTTTTTAACAAAATAATTTTTATATTACAACCATTTTATTTTTTTACTGCTTTATTTGATCATTTGTTATTGCTGTTCAGTTCATTGCACTTTTGTTTTGTTTTCTCAATATGTAATATAACTGTTCATTTCTGTTATTTTTTGTTCTGTTACAGTTTGTAACTGAAACGTTGATTAAAAATGATAGAATTATATTAAAAACAGATAATTGAAATAAATGATAAAATCTAAAGACTCCAAGATTTTTTGTAACATCTTGTTCAGGTTTGATTCTAATCATAAAGTAACATTATTGAAGAACTTTTTTCAATACAAAATATGCTAAACTTAATACAAAATATGCTAAACTTTGACCAAAAGTATATAATTCTTTTTTATTATTTTGATTTTAAAATATTTATATATGAATCCAACTCAATCCAACTGAATCCAACTTGTGAAAAGATGTATTTTGGTTAATCAAACAGCAAATAGCATATAATGGAGCTCTATAGCAATATAGTGGTTAAAGTGAATTTTTTTATTTTAAAACTTCATTTTCCAAAAAAAGGGCAAAAATCTTACATTAAATCATGTACAATTATCCATGTTATCCCCATAAATGAAAGTTAGAAATCTGGGTCCTTTATAAAGTGAATTTTACATAAAATGCTGTTTTTTGTAAAAAAAAAACTATTTATTTATTTATTTTTAGAAATTTAAAAAATATAAAAAATCCTCCAAAAACTGCACAAATGTTGAGTAAAAACATTAATAAACAGAGTAAAATTACATTTGTAAAAAAAAATTTATTATACTGTTACAAAATGCAATGTTATTGTCTGGGGTCCCTGGAGACCCCAAAGATAACAAGTGTAGACCCTAAATGAAGATAATCAGAGGGTTAAAAAAAAAACTAGTAATCTTTGTAGTGAACTATTTAATCAACCTGCTGGGTAAGGTTATTTCAAATCTGTTCTGTCCTATTTAAACAGCGGCTGATACTAGATAGGCTATAGTTCTTAGATCCTTATTGGCTATTTTATTATACTTGACTAGATTAAAAAAATAGTAGGCCCAAATTAGTTACAAGTAACTTTCTAGACAAAGGATATCCTGGACCTACTGTATAGCCTACTATTACTCTTTTTTTTTTTTTTACTTTGACTAATATAAGTAGCTAAAAAAAAAGTAGTAGCAGCATTTTGCTGCCTTTGTAATACCCCTGAAAGAGCAGTATAAAGCAGATAAAGAATAAATCACACAAGCGCTGCAGTGATGGCTTCGTCGTATTTACTCTGAATGAATTAATAAAAGCATACATGTATAACAAATACTCAGTACATTATATTATCAGTGCATGTATCACTTTTCTTTCACAGTAATGACTGGTTGTAAATGTAAGTGACTTTAAGCATGTCCCATATCACACAAGATATGTGTGGCATTTACAATTGACACTCAAATTTCATACTCTTACAAAATAACACATTTTCAGACTGAATATCTACTCAACCATTAAATGACAGTATGAAATTGATGACAACAATGCAGCTGAGATATTAATCACATGTTCAGTCATTGTCTCTGAGCTATATGTTCTACCATAAAGTCACATACAAGACTGATAAATACTTAATGCAATGCATAACTCAATTCACAGACTTGGAGTTAATTTCCCAAATTTGCAAGTTTAAAATAACTCAAAAACTGAAATAACACCATGAACTTTTAAAGACTCAAATATTACTGACATAAATGGCCCTCTCTCGTGTATAACGGGTCGACGCGCTAATCGCGAAACACGCATGCTAACCATGTGCTCGGGCCATAGAGGTTCGGGCATACCAAACTCATGACACACTATTCATTTAGTAAAAACAAAGTGCTATGAACACACACAACTCATCAGTATTTGATTAACCAATGTTTATACTCAAAACCGAGGCATTTTAGTTACCTGAAAGAGAAGTATAAAGCAGACAAAGAATAAATCACACAAGCGCTGCAGTGATGGCTTCGTCGTATTTACTCTGAATGAAGCACATCACGGCCATGATGCATGATCACGGCGTGCGATGACGTCATCACTCCATCACTCTGGTATGCCGAGCTAAAATAATTAATTTAATAAATGAACATAACTCTCGTCTTTTTTTAACAAAGGACAAATAAGCATTTAAACAATATTATTATGCATTTGAAAAGAGACACTATATACACAAAATCCACTATATCACGCCTTGCACAGCATGTCGTAATACTGTGACGTCCTACTTGGACTCGGAGCTGTTCACATTCTCGGAATTATGTGTTAATGCAACACTATCAACTACAAAATGAATATGCAGAGGTCAGATGGTACAGTGATCACATGATACAAGTCAAAGCTCTCATAAAATTCAGAGTTTACAAGTTGTAATTACGAGTTCAACTGGGTCGGAATTTTTACAAGTCGGAATCTCGTATTTATGGTAATTCTGAATGAACGCACCTTGAAAATAGATATCATACTGGTAAGTGTTTGAGTTTAAATGTTAAAACGGCTTTCCATTCTAGACAACTGGGTCAAAGAAACTGTTTTGAGTAAACCATGAAATTGAACCATAACATACCAATTCTAAACATGACCCTTGATCTTTATGGCTGACTTTGTCCATTGGATAAGCGCTACAATTACCAGGTATACTCACCAGGTTAAACAGAAATATTTAATAATGACTTCAGTGAAGGCCCTTTGACAGAGGCAGATAGCCATTTAGTGTTTAATGACCTTTACAAAATATGCCTTTCAGAGGAAAAGCCTCATAATTTGCATAGGCCAATAGCTATTGTAGTTTATTCTGATAAATTCAGCTATAGGATGGTCCAAATGACTTGCTCCACCCACCAAAGCTAAGGCTGTCCATAAATGAAGACTCCAAAATTAATAAAGTTCATCCAAGGAACTATTTTTTTGGATACTGCTCTACGCATACACTGACACTGCAAAATCAAGAAGAGGTTAACATAGCATGTAAGTATTAATTTATTTTATGTGTGTGTGTGTGTGTGTGTGTGTGTATTAGTAATTATGTTTTTTTTGAAGATAAAGTAAAAGATGCATAAAACAAAATATACAGTATGTAATACAGTATTACATACTGTATATTTTGTTTTATGCATCTTTTACTTTATCTTCAAAAAAGAAAGGCATACTATATTTTTTAATTGATCTGTACAATTTTACATTTGTCAGATTTTAAGTTGGCAGGTTGGAACAGTATAAATTAGAAAAAGAGTTTTGTAATGTTTATAAAGTTTGGGTTATTGAAAATTGCAGAGATCAGTAGAACATCCATAATTGTATTATATTTAACAGTATAAATATTTTCTAAGAAGATTATAAATGTCTATGACGTACTGACTGTAAAATGACCTGAAAATTTGTCATGCAAATCAGATACCTAAATACAAACCGGCTAATATAAATTGACACTAGTATGTCAATGGTGTGTGAGGAAGCTTTTACTGAACACACTCCATATAAGGAATGATCATGGGGCATTTATTATCACCTTTTAACAGGTTTATAGCTGTATAGAACAAGTGATCCATGAGTGGCAAAGATATGGCTGTGTGGTTTGCCTATAAAATGAGGCTATGTTTGCACATCCATCACTGTGTCAAAGGAGCCAATACAGACAGATAAAACACAGTTCTTATTACTTCATCAGAATAACTTACAGAAATACTTCAAGATGACCATGGAACCAGACCACGAAGACAGCAGCAAGTTCCTGTTCCTTGACAATGAATTCAAAAACACTGGGGTGGCCCAGGCCGATTGGTCGACCAAAAAGATGGTGTGGATCCCGTCAGAAAAGGAAGGTTTTCAGTCAGCCAGCATCAAAGAAGAGACAGGGAATGAGGTGGTGGTTGAGCTCGACAATGGACGGAAGGCGACCGTCAAAAAAGATGACATCCAGAAAATGAATCCACCAAAGTTCAACAAGGTTGAAGACATGGCTGCACTGACCTGCTTGAATGAGGCCTCAGTGCTGCACAACATCAGGGAGAGGTATTTCTCAGGTCTCATTTATGTAAGTGCATTCAAACCTCACCTTATTCACTTGGTAGAAACCGCATACGTTTTTATTCTTGATCGTATCTTTGTCTGCAGAAAGCATTAGTGTAGAGCTTTAGACAAATCTAATTTAATGTTTCTCTTTATGTTAATACATTTAACAGTGCAAAAATATCCAGATTTTATA